GTGGTCAATAGAGGAAGGTCGAGGTTTGAGATTTTCCCGTAAAGTCCGAGCCCGTAATCGGCCCGCATGCATTACAGGAGAATAATGCTCTACAATTAGCCGATCAGAGCGCACGTTATATCGGTTACAAGAACAAGCCATATACAATAAAAAGCAATAATGACTGAGTTCCCATCTGTCAAATTTCGCTTAACCAAGCAGGAAATCAAAGAACCCTTTTTTCCTTGTTTTCTTATTTTTTCGGAAGCGGCGCGTTATTTTACCCAGGCCCTTTCGGTTATAACTTTTGTCTTTGAAAGGAAAAAAGATTTTTTTATAGATAATACTTACATGATGCAGATTTCGCTCGTCTGAGAACTGAAAAGTAACAAATTTTAGATTTAGCCCCACAACAACAATTTAATTGCAATAATACAAAGTTATCGATAACTTGGGACTGGGACTGAGTATGACTGAAAAAGGACGCGAGATTGATAGCTCCGTAATTTTTGTTGTACTCTTCCATGCAATTTACCGACCAGCGAAAATATTTCTCCCGAAACGAAGCGGTTGAAATAGAGTGTGAAAGAACACCAAGCGACCGATCCACCCGCCATTGTGTCGCCTTCAAAGACGAACTGAGCGATTCCGAAGACGTAGTTCTGTCAGCCCTCGATATGGCACAGGATTTTGCGTCCAAAGTGGACCTAATATTATCAAAGCTAAGCCAACTGGAAAACATTGACACACAAATAAATATATTACAAGACTCGGTGGATCGAATAAATCAAACGGTCGCAAACCTTCAAAGGGAATTCTACCGCTTAAAGGAAGATGTACGAAATAGAGAGGGACATTGAGGTTTGCGGTATTGCGGTATTGAACAATTTTTCTTGCGTTATTTCAGTAATTTTAATCTTGAAATGCAGTATCGCAGTATTCTCCGAACTCGCGGGATGTGTTTTCTTTTTAGCATTTTGGACAGTATTAGAAATTATCCTCCTAGTCCTCGAACGTTTCCCAAGCCTTTTCCAGTTTCCGATTGAACGTTCCCGATGAAACTTAGCTCTCAAGGTGATGGTAAACTGCAATTCCTTGTGTCGCAATCGTAAAAGTCGGTATGTTATTTTTTGTTAATTACCAGCCAACCAGTTACTTATTTTATCTAAATCGAAAATTACCTGACCTAACGTTCATTAACAAATTCTTAATTGTTATTTCCGTTTTATTTGCTCTAAACTTTAATATACAGAGTAGTGGTTTCGGTATGACATCGCGTTTCCACTCGGTATTCAAGTATTGCGGTATTTAGCGATATGGCGGTATTTGCCGAATTTTTTGCGGCATTGCGGTGTTCAGAACACCCCCNCCCCCCAATGTCTCCCTCGAAATACAGGCGAAAAAACAAATACGCTTCAGACATGAGGCAGCAAGAGCCCTACGAGATTTCATTACGATATGTAACAAGTTAGGTGCGACAGACCGCCTATTTTTACGCTCTCTCTCGAAAGTGTAGGGCACATTCAGTCTCTGGATGGAAGCAAAAAAGACAGAGACAATCTTCATTGGAAGAATTCTAGCAATTTTCATTTTTCTAGAATCTCGTAGTTTTCTGGGGTTTTTTTTTGTTTTTTGTTTTTTGTTGTTGTTTTTTTTTAATAATCATTTCTTACACTCACAACACTTATTACATCACTTATTCCTAAGCCTATTTTTACAATAACATAAAGCAAATCTTTCTGTACAATCATACTTATATGTTTGATTCCATCTCTTTGCACCAGTTTGTTTTTCTTTATACTTCTTATCAACAATTAGCCAGTAGAAGTCTTTGGATTTGGCTCGCAGTAAATTAATAACTACGTTTTCATCTAAGTGAAAGGACTCCGGGTCCTCATTGTTTATCATTTCAGCGCTGAATTCATTAGTTTTCGCCTTAGTTAGGAGGTGACCTGGAATAGCAGAAATAACTTGGTAAAAGTGAAGAAAGGTTGTTCTTTTGTAGTGAATATTTCGACTGAAAAACAGGGAATGATAGGACATTTCCATTTTTATCTAAAATATCTTTAATCGTTCTAATACCTTTCTCGAACCATTCCCTCCAGAAAAAAGGTTTACCGTCAATACGGATTTCCTTATCATTAAATAGAATTGTATCTCGTCCATGATGGCATCCGTGAAGAGCCTTCAATTCATGAAAGAACAACAGAATGCCCTTATAAAAAGAGGGTACATTTTCAAAGTTCTTTGCGTCGTAATTACATGATAGGATGAAATGGAGGCCCCCGTATTTCTTTAAAAAAATAGTCTGGAACAAATTTCCAATTGGGATGGCCCTCCCGTATGAGTCTTGGTATCTATCCATGCTAATCTCAGCGCTTTGATCATTGTTTCTACATCCGTCATACGCAGCCCGCCCTTCTCATAATCCTGATATAGTCCTTCCCTTCTTATTTTGTCTCTTTTATTTTTCCAGATGAATCTAAAGAGCCTACCTTTAACGTTACTTATAATATCCTTTGGAACATTGATATTTGAAGCTGAATATATAAGAGATGATACTCCAAGCGTCTTGATTATCATCACTTTCCCAAATAGTGTGAGATCTCTTGACTTCTATATATCCAAGTTTGTTTGCAATTTATCTATCTTAAGGTTGAAATTAATTTCATTATTTCCTTTCTCATCAAAGGAGAAATAAATACCTAGAATTCTGGTCGGACTACTGACCCAGTTTAAATGTAACAGTTTGTTTTTATTGCCTGACCACTTCCCCAGCCACATAGCTTTAGTTTTCTCTAAATTAAGCCTACGACTAGAGATTTCGCCCAAATCCACTGCGATTGTAATCCTTTTTCCACCGAAGAGAGGTCGAAACACAGCTAGTTGGTATCATCTGCAAATTGACTAATTTTAATTTCCCTTTCAAATATTGAAATTCCCTTGACAGCACTGGATTGACGAATTTTCATAGACATAAGTTCTGCGGCTAGTATGCACAAGTAGGGAGAAAGTGGGCATCCTTGTCTTACTCCGGTAGAAGGTTTTATGTAGTTGGTGGCGTAGCCATTATTCAGTACCGCACTTTCTTTATCAGTATAAATGACCTTTACCCAGTTTCTTAAGCTGTCACCAAAGTTGTAAAGTTTTAGAACATGAAGTATGCTTGACATTCTAAAGTATCAAAAGCTTTCTGAAAGTCTAAGGACAGCAATATACCAGAGCGGTTTAGTTTCCTTGTTTGCTCCATAACATCAGCAATAAGCCTAATGTTTTCACCAATATATCTAGATCTGCCTTTCACAAAACCTGTTTGATCCGGGTGAATCAATGATGGTAATATCGGTTCAATCCGTTTAGCTATTGCTTTGGACGCAATTTTATAGTCAACAATTAAGAGAGTTATTGGTCTCCAATTCTTTAGCTCTAATAGCGATGATTCTTCTTTTGGTATTAGGGTTATTATACCTCTACGCTGTGAGATTGATAACTGTCCATTTTCATACGCAGCATTGAGACTCTCTACTAAGTCCTTTCCAATTAGGTCAAAAAACTTTGAGTAAAACTCGACAGTAAAACTATCTTCCCCTGGGGATTTTCCATTGCTGAAAGAGTCCAAGCTTTACTTACATTCTGCATACGTTACAAGGCCGTCTACTTTGTCACTGACCTCCTGTGAGAGACAAGGGATTTCTAGATCCTCTATATAATGACTAAATTGCTCCTCGGTGACATCCATTTTAGACGTGTAAAGATCTCTGTAATAATTTTCTATTTTTAACAAAATCTGTTCTTCCTCCTTTGTTATCTCCCCCTCGTCTTCTAATTCTGAAATTACATTCCCACTATAATTTCATTTTTCGAGATGGAAAAAATATTTTGTAGGTCTTTCGCCTTTTTCAGCCCACATGCGTTTGGATCGTAACTTTGCAGCTTCACCTTTGCTTTCAATATTTGTGGAAGTTCCTTTTTAAGACTGTCATACTGCTTCAACTCTTTGTCAAGAGACGTAACATCAGAATTGCTACAAATAATATGGTCAAGTCTGTCCATTTCGTCCTTAATTATGAGTTCACGTATCTTAGTTTTCTTTGCTTTTCCTTTGCCAAACGAGATAGTAAAGCACCTAATTTCCATTTTAAGCAGTTCCCAGTACATTCTTTTATCTTGAGTATATTTATACTTTTCCCGAAAACCAGAATACCTTTGACGCATTTGTTCTACGTAATTATTATCCTCTAGGAGAGCATTGTTAAACTTCCAAAAGCCAGGTCCCCTAGGGGCTTCTTTGTCCAGTGCAAAGATAGAAACACGGTCTTATGGTCGGGTGCTATTGAGGATTGAATATCAACTTTTTGGACATATTTGGTTAAATTTTTTGCTACAAGAAAAAAAATCTATTCTGGATCTCATTTTTAGGGCTTTGGATACGTACGAATATTTGTTTATGTTTGGATGTTTAACTCTTTGTATATCTACAAGATCAAAAATATCCATTGCTATTAAGATCAAATTCCGGAAGCCAGTTGGTCTCCAAGGTAAACCACCCTTTTTGTCTTCCTTTGTTAGAGTACAATTCCAGTCACCTCCTATAATCAGTCTCGTTAATTCAGATTGGTCTATCAAATAGTTGTTAACCTCTTGTGATCTTCCTTCCAACGTGGTGTGGGGAAATGAAAGCGACTAGTGTGTGGTGGGAGAAATTTCACAGTTGTTGCAATAGCAGTTTTATATAATTTATATTCATTCAAATATTTTTCAATACTCCAGTTACTTATTCCTGAAGTATTTTCGGTCCAATTTCGTGAAACTCTAATGAGTGATTCTCTACAGATGCAGTTTCTTCAATATACTAACTACTTATAACAGAGAGTGAGGTCCTTACGGGAAAATCTCAGTCTGAGACCTTGCCATATTGACCGAACAATAGTGTGGTCAATAGAGGAAGGTCGAGGTTTGAGATTTTCCCGTAAAGTCCGAGCCCGTAATCGGCCCGCATGCATTACAGGAGAATAATGCTCTACAATTAGCCGATCAGAGCGCACGTTATATCGGCTACAAGAACAAGCCATATACAATAAAAAGCAATAATGACTGAGTTCCCATCTGTCAAATTTCGCTTAACCAAGCAGGAAATCAAAGAACCCTTTTTTCCTTGTTTTCTTAATTTTTCGGAAGCGGCGCGTTATTTTACCCAGGCCCTTTCGGTTATAACTTTTGTCTTTGAAAGGAAAAAAGAATTTTTTATTGAGAATACTTACATGATACAGATGTCGCTAGTATGGGACCTGAAAATTAACAAATTTTAGATTTTAATTTAGCCCCACAACAACAATTTAATTGCAATAATACAAAGTTATCGATAACTTGGGACTGGG